TGCTGCTGCTGCTGCAGCAGCACTGCAACGGGACAGTTGCGGCCCTTGAAGGGAAACACTTCGCCCCTGCAGCTCTTGACGAACTTCTGCGCCGCGTCGGACGAGGGGAAGTCCACGAACGCCACCCGCAGCTGCTGCTGCTGCTGCTGCTGCTGCTGCGGGTCCTTGTCGGGCGCCGCGGGGGGCAGCAGCAGCTGCTGCAGCAGCTCCGCGTGGGCGTGTGGGGCGGGGGCGCAGAGGGCGCGGAGTGTATGTACACCGCAGAGCTGCATGCGCACGGAGTCGGGAGTCGAAAATCTTTTCAAAATTGCCAAAGTCCGAACTGCTTCTTCGAGTTCTTCTTCTGCTGCTGCAGCAGGAACTCCCTGGATTGCTGCAGTGCAGCTCAGCAGCAGCTCCTCGCGCCGCCTGCTGCTGCGCTCCTCCCGATCCCGATCCCGATCCCGATCCCGCAGCCGATCCCACTCCCCCTCCCGCGGGCGATCCCCGCGCCGCCGATCCCGATCCCGATCCCGATCCCGAAAGCGATCCCGATCCCGCGGCCTTTCCCGATCCCGATCCCGGTACTTCCGCTCCCGCTCCCCGCGGCTCTCGCTCCGGCTGCGCCGCCGCTGCTGCTGCTGCTGCTGCTGCTGCGGCCACTCGCTCCCCTCGCCCCAGTGCCGGCTCCGGCCCCCGCTGCTGCTGCTGCTGCTGCTGCTGCTGCTGCTGTGCGAGTGGCCCGCAGACTTCTTGTCCGAGCTGCTCCGGCCTTGCCCGCGACTGCTGCTGCTGCTGCTGCTGCTGCTGTTGCTGCTGCTGCTGCTGCTGCTGCTGGGGGTCTCACGCGCCTCGCGGTCCCTCACGTCCTGCAGCCCCTCCCCGGGGGTGCCCCTGCGCCGAGACATTTGCAGCAACTTATTTCGCTGCTGCTGCTGCTGCCTTGCTGCTGCTGCTGCTGCTGCTGCTGCAGCTGCAGGTGATGCTGCGGGTCCCCCCTGCTGCTGCTCCCGTTGTTGCCCCTGCTGCTTCCGCGCCTGCTGCTGCTGCTGCTGCTGCCCTGCTGCTTTATTTTCTCTTTCTTGCTGCTGGGGCCGAACAAAGAGAGGAGGGCCCCCACTCAGCCCAGGTGTCTGTACACGGGGGAAGTGGGTCCCCCAGATCTGGGGCTTAGGGTTTAGGGTTTAGGGTTTAGGGTTTGGCGTTTGAAAAACCCAAGCAGCCCAGCAAGTAAACCCCGTTTCTAGCTTCAAACTTGCGTGCTAGGGTTTGCCTCTGCGGCTGGATCTGCTGCTGCTGCGGCTATTGCTGCTGCTGCTGCTGCGGCTGCTGCTGCTGCTGCCGGCTGCAGCCCCAAAACCGCGGCCGAGAGCAACAGCAGCAGCAGCAGCAAACCCTTAAAGTATTTCCTTCAACTTTAATTAGTTGCTTTTTGCGTTTGTTTGAGTCTCTCGTAGCTGCGCAGCTGCGGTGTATGCACGCGCGGCGGAGCTGCTGCTGCTGCTGCCCTGCTGCTGCTGCTACTGCTGCTGCTGCGTCTCGCTTACGCGCAACACGCCTGCTCTTCACTTAATTTTTTTAAATTAAATTAATTTAATTTCCAAAATTGACAAACGGACAGGCCAGTTCGTTGCAGATCCTGTCTCAGGCTTGGGGTGTACGTACACTCGGCCTAGAGCTGCCTGTACACCCCAGCGCCTCCCCCACTTTCCTTTCTTCTTTTTCCGCATTTCTTTTATTTTTTTGAATTTCTTTTCTTTTTTTAAAGAAATAATGTGCACTGGGCCGGGGTGTACGTACACCTGAGCCAATGGAGGACTCTCAAGAGGTTCCTGCTGCCTTTTCTTTCCCCCCCTTTAGTTCTTTACTTGCAGGCCTTCTTGCTGCTGCTCTTCTCTACCTGCTCTTCAGGTGAGACCTGCTGCTGCTGCTGCTGCTGCTGCTGCGTCTAGCTGCGCCGCTGCAGGCCTTGCCATTGCAGCGACGCTGGGTGCGGCGGTGCTGCTGCTGCTGCTCGCTCTGCTGCTGCTGCTGGTTGCGCTGCTGCTGCTGCAATGGTCGCAGCCCTTTCGCTGCAGGGGGTTGAGCTGCTGCTGCTGTCTTTTCTCTTTTTCTTCCCCTCGGGTTGGCGCGCAGACATGCAGTCTAGTGCTAAGGGTCTAGAAATTAGGGTTTAGGGTTTAGGGTTTAGGGTTTGCGGATGCTGCAGGGCTGGAGATGCTTGGGGCCGCCGTCGAGAAGAAGAAGAGGAGGAGCAGCGCCTCAGGCGCCTAAGGGAGGCGCGGTAGGTCTCTGCATAACCGCTAGCTAGCTAGCTAGCTAGCTAGCTAGCTAGCTAGCTGGCTAGCTAGCTAGCCAGATATATAGCTGGCAGTGTACCTAGCTGACTAGCTAGCCAGCTAGCTAGCTAGCCAGCTAGGTAGCCAGTTACGTGGCTGGCCAAGTAGTTCGATAGGTGGCTGGCTGGCTAGCTAGCTAGCTAGCTAGCTAGCCGTTTAGCTAGCTGCCGGGTAGCCATGTAGCTAGCCATATGGCTAGCCAAGCCAAATAACTAGCCAGATAGGGAGCCGGTGGCTCACCATGTAGTTAGCCGCTAGCTAGCTAGCTAGCTAGCTAGCTAGCTGGCTAGATAAAGAGGTAGCCGACGAGATGATGTCAGTTCTCCTTCAGCCAAGTAGCTAGCTAGCTGGCTAGCTAGCTAGCTAGCGAGCTAGCTAGCTAGGCGTAAGACTGGCTGTGTGGCTGGCTAGCTAGGTAGCTAGCTGGCGGCTTCTTCCTCCGTATCTGCTACTTGTCTTTCTCTCCTCGTGTTTAGATGCTCGTCTTTAGTTTTTGGCTTTAAGGCTACTAAGACCCTGATTTAGGGTTTAGGGTTTAGGGTTTACGGTTTGTGCGTTGCGTCTGTGGAAGGGCTCGGCACGCGGCTGCTTTGGAGGCCGAGATGGAGGCGTTCAAGAGCACTGCTGCGTACGAGGAGATGCAGCGAGCAGCAGCAGCAGCAGCAGCAGCAGCAGCAGCAGCAGCAGCAGGAGAAGGCATTCGCCCAGAACACAGGGGCCGCATTTCCCGCCACGGGCCTGCAGCAACTCAGCCCAAACCCTGGCGGCCAAGTGCAGCAGCAAGATACGGCCGTGGGGGTGGCTGACGCTAGTGCGGCGCTGCAGCAGCAGCAGCAGCAGCAGCAGCAGCAGCGCCGCAAACCGCGAATTGGGGTTTAGGGTTTAGGGCTCAGTCGAAACGCGAGTGAAGGGCGAGGCCTAAAGCGGACCAGCGCCGGCCCCGGCCAGATATGCGCCGACGCCACGGGCCTGCCCCCAAACCCCAGGGTTTAGGGTTTAGGGTTTAGGGTTTAGGGTTTAGGGTTTGCGGGAGGCGCAACTCTTCTGGGCGACGCTCCCTCCCGAAACAAAGCCTTCAGGACCTCAAGGAATTCCGACATGGGAAATGTGTCGCCGCTGTCTCTGATAGAATAGAACTCGTAGCTTAGGGTTTAGGGTTTAGGGTTTAGGGTTTAGGGTTTAGGATTTAAGGACTTAAGGTTTTAGAGTTTAGGGTGCAAGGTTTAGAACTGGAAATTTAGGGTTTAGAGCTTAGGGTTTAGGGCAAAGAGCCTGGGGCTTAAGTTTTTGACTTAGGGTTTACGGTTTTGACTTTAGGGTTTAGGGTTTAGGGTTTAGGGTTTAGAGCTTAGGAATAAGGGCTTGGTGCTTGGGGTTCAGGGTTCATAACTGCGAATTTAGGCTTTAGAGTTTAGGGTTTAGATTTTAGACCTAAGGTTTCAGGGTTTGAGCGTTAGACTCTAGGGTTTAGGGTTTAGGGTTTATGGTTTAGGCTTAGGTGTGGGTTCTGAAGTGCTTCCTACAAAGCAATTTTGATAGTGCGGGGAGGCCCCGCTAGCTAGCTGTGCACTAGCTAGCTAGTGCACAGCTAGTGCACAGCTAGCCAGCTAGCTAGCTAGCCAGCTAGCTGGGCGGGTGTCTGGCTGGCTAGCTATGTGGCTGGCTAGCCAGCTGGCTGAGTGGCGAATTAACAGGCTAGCTTTGTTGCTAACTAGCCAGTCAGCTGAGTGGCTAGCTAGCAAGCTAGCTAAACGGCTAGCTAGCCAGCTGGGTGGGGGGCTAGCTAGCCAGCTGGTGGGTGGCTAGCTAGTCAGCTAGCTGGATGGCCAGCTAATCAGCTAGCTGGACGGCTAGCTAGCCAGCTAGGTAGAGAGTCAGGGCTTTCAAGCTGCGTGCGTCTCGACAGCAAAAGCTGCATGCAGCCAAAGGAGTGTGCAGCTAGCTGCTGCAGCTAGCTGCAGCAGCTAGCTGAAGCTAGCCGTCCTGCTCTGGGTAACTAGGGCTTGGCTACCTGCCTGAAGGCATAGCTAGCTACAGCTAGCCAGTGGGCTGCTGCCTTGAAAGGCTGGTGGGAGCTTTAAGTGCTGCACATCTCCTCCACACTTGCTGCTGTAGAGCTGAGGTGTCTGTACACCCCAAACGGGAGGGCCAAACTGCACTGTTCTTTGAGGCACATTTTTTGGAACATTTTTCTGTAAAGGCCTCCGGCCTTGTGAAATGTTTTAAAATTAAAGTTTTATTTTATTTTTAAAAGCTTTTAAAATGTTTATTTCCCTCGAAGAGTTTCTAAAATGTTAATTTCCGTTGAGGGTGCTCTGGTGGTGGTGGTTAGGGGGGCGGCGCCGCGCTGCGCGACTTTGACGTTTTTCGCGGAGTTTAGAGACAAAATTAATTAAATTTAAATTAATTTAATCTTTTAATTTAATTTATTGTTTTTGATTGATTGAAAAACCGGCGCTTTAGGCCGAACTGCCTCCTGCTGCCGTGTACATACACCTCAGCTGTCGTGCACCAGACCATTGCGGGGTGTCGCCTTACTGCCTCTGCGTTCTTTTCTTCTTATTTATTCTCAAAAATATTGAATAATTAATTAAAATAAATAAAAAGAAGTGCATTTGGTCGGTTTATTTGGATAGAGAACTCGCATTTCGAGGTGAGCTCAAGGGGTGTACGTACACCCGAACGCCGCCACCCAGGTGACCTCCTCCGCAGCCGCGGCCCCACAGGTGTGGCCACCTGCGGCGCTTAATGTCTGTTTTGAACACAAATGTAAAATTGAACATTTATTGATTATTTATTAATTGATAAATGATTCTTTTCGGGGTGTCAGTGTGCCCTTCGCCTCCGCCTTCCGCCCCTGAGGTGTACGTGCACCCCAGACCTCCTGCTGCTCCTTCCTCTGCTTCCCCTCCCCACAATGGCGGAAGCTTGGACCCCCACGATTCCCTGCTACTTGCCTTACCTGCCTCCCCTGGCGACTCCTAAGGCAGCAGCAGCAGCAGCAGCAGCAGGAGCAGCAGCAGCAGCAGCTAAGGGTCTCCCGGCTTCCGCCTTCTGCGCCTACGGCAGCAACTCCGGGGGCCCCTCCACGGGCAGCAGCACCCCGATCTGCTTCGCGGGGGCCCCTGCGGGGGCCCCCCCTGCTGGGGGCCCCCCCGCGGGGGCCCCCCTTGCCAAGGGGGCCCCCGCCGGGGGGCCCCTCCAGGGGGGCCCCCTGGGGGCCCCCACGGAGAGCTCGCCGCTGGCAGCGCCAGGGGGGGCCCCCGCGGCGGGGTTGGCGGGGAGGCTTCGCAAGGGTTTAGGGTTTGAGGGTTTGGGGTTTGAGGGTTTAGGGTTTAGTGTTTTGGGGGTGCGGGAGTACCTGTTGAGGACCGAGAAGGACCTGGAGCAGGGCCCCAGCAGCAGCAGCAGCAGCAGCAGCAGCAACGGGATTTCTCTTTTGTCTGTCAC